GAATGTGGGTAGGAAGTGGGGGAGAAGGCAGGGTAGGGTCAGATCTCTGGCTCCTCTCAGTGTGGAAAATGGGAAGCCGACGCCACCTTCCCCTGGCCTTCCCATTCTCCCTCCTGGTCCTTGGGAGCGGCTCCTGTCCTGGCTCGGTGCTCCTGGCCCTGCCTCATCTCGCTGTCACTGTCCTGCGAGGGAGTCCAAGCTGCAGAGCAGGGCGGGGCAGGGCAGGACCCCGGCACGGGCCCCAGCTGCCGGACCTTTGGCCTCCAGGGCCATCTAGCCTCGCACAGGCATGCTGGGTGTCTCGCCACACCGTTAACTCACGATAACTTGCGGTCAGCTAATCCTTGACGGTCTTTCTGTTTCCACAAACAGTTGTGAGTCTGCGAATCCTTGAGTTGGCCGTTTCATCCCTCCTGCCTTCCTCTCGGGCAGTGAGTGTGAGCCCCATTCCAGTCTCTCCACATCCCTTCCAGGCCCCCTCCTGCCATCGGGACCGCACACTTTCCTCCTGCCGGTTCTGTGCAGTAGGCCCTGCTGATGAGACTGGTCTCCAGGTGCTGAGCAGGGCAGGCTGTGAGGAGAGCAGGTAATGGGCCGCCAGGATCTTCCTTCAGGCTTCGGGTCTCACGTTTCCCCCCAGGGTGGCACCCCCATCCCAGGCTGTCTTTCGTCTTTCGTCTTTCGGCCTAGCCCCACCTCCTCCTGGGCCCCACTGAAGAGAAGCCTCTGCTCTTCCCTCCTGGGACTCCCAGAACTGTGTCGGGGACAAACAGTGCAAGAGAAAGTCTGTCTGTTTCAGTGTCAGTGCAGAGCTGCTGAGCATCTGAGCAGGTCACATCAGGAGACTCCAGGGCCACACAGGGCTTGGGAGAGTTTGATGGGCAGTGCTGCTGTGAGGCCCCCAAGAGGCAGAAACAGACACGTGGCCCCTCCAAAGGGGGGACACCAGTGATCTCTCCTTCCACTGAATGTGGGGGAAGAGACTGAAGGGGAGAAGGTGTCAGGTTAGGCCCAGCGGCTTTTAGCCAACGTGTGTCCACTGTCTTTCTAAGTCCAGTTCTAGGGGTGCTCCATGATGCTCCCAGACCACACGTGACCTCAGCAGCCTCGAGGTTCTGCACACCAGGCTTCCGTCTCTGTCTCCTCCCCAGGGTCAGGGCTCCAGGGAGACGGGCAGCTGATGCCGGTGTCAGGTGTGGCCTGAGCCTAACCCGAGACAAGCCCTCTGCTGACCTGGGAGAGAGAGGGCATCCAAGGAGGCTCTGGCCAGGGAGGAGATCTGGGTCAGGCTGGAAGACGCTGCTACATTTGACACAGAGACCATGGAGGCAGAGGGGACTCACCCGACCGTGGAGAGGGAAAACTCACCTGTGGACCATCAGAGGAAACACTCCACCCGGCATGGAGAGGAGAGCACTCACCTGGCCATGGACCATGGAGAGGCGGGGAGGCCACCTGACCATGGAGAGGGGAGAAGGACACTCACTGGCCATGTAGACCATGGAGAGGCAGAGAGGGGGGACTCACTGACATGGAGGAAGAGCACTCACCTGGCATGGACACATAGAGAGAGGGGAGCAGAGGACTCACCTGACCATGGAGAGAGGAAGAGGCTTACTCACCTGGCCATGGGGAGGGGAAGAGCACTCATCTGGCCATGGACCATGGAGGGCTGCGAGGACTCACCTGGCCGTGGAGGCAGAGGGGGACTCACCTGGCCATGGGGGAAGAGCACTCACCTGGCCGCAGGAGGAAGAGCACTCACACCTGGCCATGGACCATGGAGAGGGCAGAGGGATCACCTGGCCGTGGAGGGAAGCACTCACCTGGCCATGGACCATGGAAGGGGGCAGAGGACTCACTGACCATGGAGAGGGGGGCCCACAGGGGGGACTCACCTGGCCATGGGGAGAGGAAGAGCACTCACTGGCCATGGACCATGTAGAGAGGAGCAGGACTCACCTGACCATGGAGGGAAGGCACTCACCTGGCCATCTGGACCATAGAGAGAGGGAACAGAGGGGTTTCACCTGACCATGGAGAGGGAAGAGCACTCACCTGGCCATGGACCATGGAGAGAGGGGAGCAGAGACTCATCAGGGGACTCACCCGGCCATTGAGAGGAGGCAGAGCCTATCCGTGAGCCTGGGCTGCAAGGACATGAAGTTTTAGTGGGCCCAAAGCCTTCCTACAGCAGCTGTTTCTGGAGGATCTGTTTGATTGTGGCCTGCTTTTCTAGAAACTCATCTTACCACAGGGAACAGAAGCACAGCCACCCCTGCCTACAGGGCCCCTGCCCTCCCGACTCTGACCACTTCTAACAAAGCTCCTGAGAGGCCCACCTGTCCCGTGGCCTTCCTGGTCCCTGCACAGGTAGCCGTGGTGGGAGCACTTACCGGCCCGCCGTCGCTGTCATGGGGACTCTCGACACTCTGCTGAAACCCTCACACCTCCCCACTTGGGTAGCCTCTGTTGGGTTGCCTCCATCCATACTGCTTGGAGGCTCATGAAGAAGGTCAGGGCTCCTGCTGAAGGAGACCTCTTTCCCACCCAGCCACCTCACCCACTTGGAGCTCACTCCACCACATTGGCACAGAGTTTTAGTTTAGGGACTCACCCATTCATTCTTCTTTTCAAAACATCTATCTATTTATTTGTTTATTTAAAGACAAGGTTATGAGACTGGCTAATTTTTTTGTTTTTGTATTTTGGTAGTTCTTCTTTTCAAAACATCTATCTATTTATTTGTTTATTTAAAGACAAGGTTATGAGACTGGCTAATTTTTTTGTTTTTTGTATTTTTGGTAGAGACAAGGTTTCACCATGTTGGCCAAGCTGGTCTTGAACTCCTGGGATCAAGCGATCCACCCCCCCGGCCGAGCCCGCACAGTGCTGGGATTACAGGCACCCGCCACCAACCCAGCTAATGTTTGTATTTTTAGTAGAGACGGGTTTTCACTATGTTGGCCAGGCTGGGCTGGAACTCCTGGCCTCAAGTGATCCGCCCGCCTTGGCCTCCCAAAGTGCTGGGACTATAGACGTGAGCCACTGCGTCCAGCCAGGGGTTTTGGTTTGTTAATTTTGATGGCCCTTATGGGGAACAAATCTTATCTTTAAATGTATTCAAATGATGTGCTTTTCCAAAGTTTCGAGACTGGAAAATATGCTGGGTTCTGTGTCCAGAGCTGAAGAGGATGTGACGGTGAGTAAAACTCAATCCTGTCTACATGGGGGAGACAGACAGGGAAACGGGGAATATGGGGGCAGGTTTCACATTAAGGGATGCCTTGAAAGGACTGCTCACTCAGCCTGGGGGTCCTCGAGAAGGTGACCACCGAACCAAGCTTAAAGGATGAGCAGAAATTGGGTGAACGTGGAGGCTGGGAATCAAGAAGGAGAATCGTGAGCAGGGCCAGGATGGAGGGAGTGTGGTAGGGTGAGCCAAGGATGGCAGGAACTAACCAGGGGAACTGAGAAGGGCTCCAATGGTGGAGGCCCTGGAGACAAATTAAGGAGTCCAGTGTAGGAGCCGTTAGGAGGTTTGAAGCAGGGGAGCCCGGGGTCCATCTACATTCGCAATGGTCCATTCTGAAGCAATACTCAGGAGGGGTGCTGGAAGGCTGGAGGTGTGGCTGCCTGCCGGACAGAGGGACCAGAAGTCAGGCAGGGACCCACATTCTGGGAGCGTGGTGGTCAAAATGCTCCAAAATATTCCCAGAAAGGCATCCCAGAGGCCTGTTCCCCCAGGGCCACCGCATGCCACAAGCTTGGGCCCAGCCGCTGCGCTTGCTCCCTGTAAGGATGTCGCGGTCAGAGGGCCCTGGTGGACTGGGAGACCCCGCCTCTGGTTGGGACCCTCAGTTTCCTCCCGCTAGGATGGAGAGTGTGGCCTGTGGTGCTGGCGGGACTCATAGTAGACCACCTGGGAGAACAGGCAGACTCAGATCGGCAGGGCAGCCCTCTCTGCCACGTTGGACGAGGAGAGTCCATTCGGCAGAGGAGCCCGACGCCGCCCCAGAGAGAGGGTCTGAGACAGACATGGGGCCCTCGATGGATTTCCTGTTCCAGGCTCTGAGCCCTCCTGAGGGCCCTTGGACTCCAAAAGTGCGCTTGTATCTCTATAATAAATGCTCACGTTTCAAATCCTTCCGCTGACCTAAGTGGGTTTTCATTCTTGCCATCAAAAATGGTGACTAAGACGGTGGCCATGCCGTAGCCCTGATGGTCTGGTAAGTGGGTCTCTGTCCCCTTGAATTGGTTTAACACTCATTCCCAGAGTATGGCATGGATAGCAGAGGCAAGAAAGAAGAGGAGCCTGTCTTTTTGTCTGAGGTTTCCCTGAGAGTGTCTGAGCGTCTTGCCGGCCTGTTCCCAGCGTGGCCGCGTTAGGCAGCCAGAAGGGCCCAGGGGCTTTCTGGAGGGCAGAGTTCCTCCCCTTGCTGAGGTCTCCGCCTCTGCCCACCTCTTCCCCACCTTGGGGCTGTGGGGTTCAGGAAACATCGATCTTCTGGAGATGGTGAGTCAGGGTCAGCACGTGGCCCCAGGAGGTGTTTCCAGGGCAACCAGGAGCAGCTTCTCCTGGTCAACCAAAGAATTCCCCATGGAGGTCAGAGGGTGCGGGGGTCAGCAGGAGCAGAGAAAGTGCAGGTGTGCCCAGAAAGATGGGAGGAAAAGGAGGGTCCAGGACCACCTTGGCCTCCCGTCCCCACTTCCAGAAGCCCTCCAGCTGGGTGGCCTGCCCCACCGCCCAAGGCCCTTAGTGGCCACTGCAGGGGCACCCATGCTTGTGAACAGCCCCCACCCGCCTGCGTGCTGGGCTTTTCCAGGAAATTCAGGGAGAGCAGTGGCTTCCTCGCCTCTTCTGCCCAGCTCCAAGGCTGGATCCTGAACCCTACCTGCTCTCCCATGCAGGGCTGGGGGTGGGAGGAGGCAGGGGCTGACCGGCAGGTCTGATGATAAATTGTTTATCGGGATCCCGCTGGGGAAGGGGGGCTGTCGTGTCCGCTCCTGGCTTGGCTGCTAACTCAGAATAGTCCTTTCTTCCATGCATCTATTTCTCCGTCTGTTCAACAGGCAGATTCAGCATCTTCATCCTGCCCTGGGCTGAGGAAGAGACTTGGTATGTTTTTGTTTATCCCAGGGGAAATCTTATCTTCAAACCACAGTGTTTTTACCATACACACAAATAAAAACAATAGCAGTAGCCAATGATTGGCTTAATTATGACAATAATGGAGAAGAGAGAGAGGGTGGGAGTGGAGCACCTGGGGCCAAAGTGCTTATTTCCCAAGTCCCTGAGGGCTTTTAGCACTAGCCAGGAAGCTGGGACCTGAATCCCCCACCGCTGGTGCGCTGGAGTCAGAAGATACAGAAACGCCTAAAAGGCAGGTGCTCAGGTGAGGGCTGTGTGCATCTTGCTGCTGATGGGGGGCGGTTAGAAAACCATCCCAGGGGAAGACGTTCTTTCTAACAGCCTAAATTGGAGGGAGAAGGAGAAGGGAGAAGCAGTGAGGCCCTGGAGAGACCAGCCCTTCCTCAATGCAGCCTCTGGGGAACCAGGAGCCCCCAACATAGATGCTGGGCTCAGGTGAGTCGGGAGGAAGGGCTGTGGGCGGGCCTAGGTGGGCACAACCTGCACTGAGCTTCACAACACGGTCATAGGCAGTGTGGCCAGGGGCCTCTCTGCACACGCTGGGGTCGGAACCCCACAGGAGGAGCTGGCCCTGGACCCTCCCTGGGGTCCACAGCCTGCTCCCACCAGACCTAGGGTGCCAGGACACTCCTAGACTGTTCTTCACTGTATCCCTGGTCCTCACCTCTGAATCACCTTTTGATGAGGCCCCACTTCCTCTCTCGCCCCACTATTAACTGGACTATGCCTTCTACCACTGTGTTCTCTCGTCCCCTGGCTCTGAGAAAGCCGCAGAGGCAGCAGCCGGGAGTGTAAGAGCTCTCCTGGGGGCTCCGCCCTGATTCACAGGTAAGGCCCTAATTGCCTGATAACCCTCCCAGGGACAGCCAGACATCCCTGAGCCACTCACCCACCCTGCAGACCATCCTGAACTATTGCCCTGGGCTGAGCTTGGGGGTCCTGGGAGCCACAGAGCGAGCCACGGAGCCAGCCCTTCTCTCCAAGGCTCCCAGTCAGGGGCAAGGAACTGCCAATGGAAACTCACAAACTTCGATTACTTATGTAAATACGAGTAACACACGTTTAGTGCACAGCAATGAGGAAGTACACGTGAGCAAAAGAATGAAAAATTGCCGGCAACCCCATTGAGAAATGACTGCAGTTTTTCACCTTCACTGCGTGTACTGGTCTGTAATCTTCTTTTTTTTTTTTTTCTGAGATGGGGTCTTGCTCTGTCACCCAGGCTGGAGTGAGTGGTGCAACCTCAGCTCACTGCAAGCTCCACCTCCCGGGTTCACGCCATTCTCCTGCCTCAGCCTCCTCAGTAGCTGGGACTACAGGCACCCGCCACCACGCCCAGCTAATTTTTTCTTTTTTTGTATTTTTAGTAGAGACGGGGTTTCACGGTGTTAGCCAGGATGGTCTCCATCTCCTGACCTCGTGATCCGCCCACCTCAGCCTCCCATCTGGTCTGTAATCTGCTATTAGTGGAAATCATCACCGTTTTACACCTTTACTGCGTGTGCTGGTCTGTAATCTGCTATTTGCACTTATGAGTGCATGTGAGTATTTTTCAGTCGCAAGAGACATTTCCACAGCACGTTCCTTAGCAACTGCCTAGTGTGTGATGTAAGAGGCTCGTTTTGCCCATTCCTCAGTGGTGGCTTTCGGGACTGTTTCTGATTCCCTCCAGCCCTTCGGTGAATTTTTCCCACGACCTGCTCAGCTGCCGGCAACTTTCTGGGCATTGGGCATACAGCTGTTCACAAAACAGAGACCTGTGCCGACACATTTCTGGTCATATCCTATCAGTTCTTTCAACTGCTGACTGGAGGAGGTATGCCAGGCCAAAGGGCACACCTCCGGGATTTGCCCTCCCAAAGGCCTGTACCTATCAGGGTGGGCCTGTGTTCCGGATTGGCCCGGCAGTGGGCACCGGGCATGACCTGCGGCGGGGACAGCGCAGGTTCCAGATGAAGCAGGGAGAGCGAGCCTGGGTCCTGGCTCTGTGTCTGGTCTTATGACCATTTTGGCCAGGGCTTCACCAAGCAGCTATTTTCCCAGCTTCCAGACTGGGCTGCTGGAGCTGGGCGTGGAACAGAATATTTGAAATGGAGCCACTCTAGGCAATCCCAAGCTGCTGAGGTACCTTTTGGACCCAGCTCGAGGCAGCCGTTGCCTGCAAGGATCTGGGTGGTGGGGAGCCCGGGCTTCCACCCAAGGCCACCAAGGGCGGTCCCAGCCTGGCCCTGCCCCTCCCCTGTGCCTCCACCCCTGCCCTTCCTATGCTCCAAGGCAGGTAGGGAGGCGGGAGGCCAGTTAGCTCAGGAACCCAAACCTGTTGGGCAGGTTTTGAGAGCTGTGGAGAGAGGGACAGAGGCTGGAGAAGGATGCACGGCCTGCCCTGGGCTTGCCTGTTCCCTCCTGAGCCTGAGCCTCAGCCCCTTACCTTCCTGACCTCATGAGGCACGCACTGGCTTTGCTGGCTCCTCTGCTGGGCCTGGGCCTGGGGATGTCCCTGAGTCAGCTGGCAGCGGGGGCCACAGACTGCAAGTCCCTTGGCCCGGCAGAGCCCCTGACATTCACCCCAGCGGCCAGGGCCCGGTGGCTGGCCCCTCGAGTTCGTGCACCAGGACTCCTGGACTCGCTCTACAGCACCGTGCACCGCTTCCTCTCCGTGGTGCAGCTGAATCCTTTCCCTTCAGGTGAGTGTGCACCTCCCCAGCGAGGGCCTCAGCATTGGGGTCCCCAGCCAGGCTTCCTCTGCCCCCTCTACCACGAGATGTGCCCAACTTACCAGCAGGCACTGGCCGTCTTCCTGGGGTAGAAGGCGGAGGATTTGGGGCTCCAGAACCTGCTGTGTGACTGTGGGTAGCCCTCGTTTCCTCTCTGAGCCTCAGGTGCTCTGTCTGTAAAGTGAGGAGGTTACATTAGAAATACATTAGACCCAACTCAGACATCCTCTGAGTCTAGTGGTGCTTGGGTTGGGTGGTCCAGGAGTGGCTGAAGGACCCTCCCAGTCTTGTCTTTTGCTGCTTGAGGGGAAGAACTGCCAGGCCAGGCCCCTTCTCTCCCTTTGCCCAGGCTCAGGACTGACCTGTAGGGTCCAGGAGGAGAGGTCTGCAGCCCTCTCTCACCCTCCTGTAGCAGTGCTGAGGTCAGGGCAGGATGGAGCACGGCTGCGGTGATGCAGCCTCCTGCGAGGGTGCCATGGTGGTGGCAGGAGCCCTGCCTCAGAGCCACTTTGCCCTAGCAGTGGGGAGAGGATGGGCACGGGGCAGGGTGGTGGCCGCCCCCAAATCCTCAGCTTGGCTCTTTCCCGTAGAGCTGGTAAAGGCCCTGCTGAATGAGCTGGCCTCCGTGAAGGTGAATGAGGTGAGCAAGCTGGGGAAAGGTGCTGGGGGAGGGAGTTCCGGGGTGAGCAGCAGGACGAGAGCAGAAAAGCCCCCAGTCCCCTCAGTCCCCCAGGCGGGGGCTCGGGCGTCCTCCCCCTCCTCTGTGGGCCCTGCCGTCCGCAGACCTGGATGCAAACCACAGCTCTGCCATTTACTGGCAATGAGGTTTGCAGGGAGCTGGAACTTCCTGAACTTCAGCTTCCTCCCGTGTAAGAGGGTGATGAGCAGTAAGAATGCGGTCGCCTCTGGGACGCGTTCCATGAGATGCAGGCCATGCCCCCGACGGCACTCCCGCCCCTTCTGGTTTCCCTCTGGACTCCGGCAGAAGCCAGGGCTGGGCAGTGGGGGTGGGGTCGCCCCTCATGCCCTGCCGCCTGCCCAGGTGGTGCGGTACGAGGCGGGCTACGTGGTGTGCGCCGTGGTCGCCGGCCTCTACCTGCTGCTGGTGCCCGCTGCCGGGCTTTGCTTCTGCTGCTGCCGCCGCCGCCGGCGCTGCGGGGGGCGAGTGAAGACAGAGCACAAGGCGCTGGCCTGTGAGTGCGCGGCCCTCACGGTCTTCCTGCTGCTGACCACCCTCTTGCTGCTGTAAGGCACTGCCCAGAGCCCGGGCGGGGCGGGCTGTGGCCCCAGGCTCCCTCTTACCCCGCAAGCGCCTCCCTCCTCCCTCCGTTCCCACAGGATTGGTGTGGTCTGTGCCTTAGTCACCAACCAGCGCACGCATGAACAGATGGGCCCCAGCCTGGAGGCCGTGCCTGAGACCCTGCTCAGCCTCCGGGGCCTGGTCTCTGATGTCCCCCAAGTGAGCACTGTTACCCCTCACCCACATGCGCCCCTGTGAGCACCGGGCCCGGGCAGGACAGAGCCGAATGGGCTCTCGCTGGCCCATCGCCAGCGCATCTGAAAGCCGCCTCCTGTCCCGCCTTGCCTGAGAGTCCACCACCCTCAGGGCGGATGCCATAGGGGCAGGGAAGGGGCCAGGGAGAGATGGGGGTCAGGACTGCGGGTGACCAGGAAGGGCAGCCTCAAGGCCTTGTGTTTGCCTAGGAGCTGCAGGCCGTGGCACAGCAGTTCTCCCTGCCCCAGGAGCGCGTCTCGGAGGAGCTGGATGGTGAGGGTCTCGGGCGCTGGCAGGTGGGCTGGCTGCAGGGCCCCTGCTCGGGTACCTCGGTGGGGGCCTCTCACTCCCTCATTCTGGACCCCACCTGGGAACAGGCTGGTAGAGGTGGGGATCAGGCCGGCTGGAGAGCAAGAGTGGCCATCACTCAGCTGCTGGAGGAAGAAGCCATGTTGCCCCTCCTCCACTCCCCTCCACCCCCAGGCTCCTGCGGAGGCAGGATGGGAATGAGGAGGCCCCTCCATTCTTGGGGCCTCACCCTGCAAACTGCCGTGTGCCCTGCAGGTGTTGGTGTGAGCATTGGGAGCGCCGTCCACACTCAGCTCAGGAGCGCTGTGTACCCCTTGCTGGCGGCCGTGGGCAGTTTAGGCCAGGGTGAGCTGAAGCTGCCCCTGGATAGTGTGGAGCCCAGTGGGTGTCCTCCTGGGGCGGTCCCACCTGCCCCCAGCCCTGGATTTCCTGAGCCACCTCTGCCCCACCTATACTTCCCCATCGCTGTACCCCAGGATCCAGCCCCCCTCCCCTGGCTTGACGTACCCAGGGCAGTTTCCATTGTAGGCAGGAGGTCAATGATTTGCAAGTCCCTGTGGCTGGGGGAGGGGAGTCTGGGATGCCTATGGGGGCCACCGTTCAGGCTGGGTGTGGGTCTCTCAGCCCTGCAGGTCTCCATGCACCACCTGCAGGCCCTGAACGCTACAGTGGTGGAGCTGCAGGCCGGGCAGCAGGATCTGGAGCCAGCCCTCCAGGAACAACGGGACCGCCTCCTCCAGCTGCTGCAGGAGGCCGGGTGCCAGGGAGACTGTGCAGGGGCCCTGAGCCGGGCCCGTGCCCTGGAGCTGGGTGCTGACTTCAGCCAGGTGCAGACCCAGGACAGAGTCCTCTTAAAGTCATGGAGGGCTGGCTGCCTGTCGCTCCTGGGATCCAGCAAATTCCCAGTCCCCTTCCCCCATGTTCCTCCCTTGCCCCACCCACCCGGGGTTAACGCCAGTCATCCTGGCTGTGGGTGGAGTGCTCCCCGGGCCGCGCCCTCTGCGTGAGCTTCACGTGTGTGAGCTCCTTGAGTTCTGGCTGCCGCCAGGGACAGTGGGAGCCATGGCAGTCCCCATTTTACACTTGAGGACATTGGGGTTCAGAGGCACCTGCCCCCTTCATCCGCCCTCAGGGATCCCCTTCAGGCTTCTCCTTGAACTTTATAATAATCCGCCTTCCCCCATTTCAGGTGCCCTCTGTGGACCATGTTCTGCACCGGCTAAAGGGTGTCCCTGAGGCCAACTTCTCCAGCATGGTCCAGGAGGTGAGAGCCACCTGGTCTGCCTGATTCCTCCCTCACCTGCCAAGTGAGGGCCTCCGTTTCCCCCTTTTGGGCAGGAACCCAGTTGAACCTAAGACTTGGGGCCCCACCCACCACACAGCACCCTGGGCAGGGGACTCCCGACGACCACCCTTGGTGTGCACACAGTGTGTGCTCGGAAGGGAGAGCTGGGACATTTAAGGCAGCAGGTGTCTGGGGGTGGCAAGGGAGCAGTACCCAACCTGAGCCCAGAGGGCAGGCGGCTCCCTCGGGTGGAGGTGGGCCAAGGGGGAGGACTTGGTGTTGTGAGTCAGTGCCCAGGACCCAGGACCTGGAGCTAGGGAAATGGTGAGTCAGCTGTGCTGAGTGGCCGGAGTAGAAGGTTCCAGAAGGAAGGAAGTCAGAGCCAAGGCTGGAAGGGTGGACTGGAGCTGTACCTTCAGGAGCTAGACCTGGCAGTTGTGTGGAGGACAGCTGAGAGTTCACTGCAGTGGTGGGAGAGGGATGGGGGTAGGAAGAAGAGGTCTGGGAGAAGCAACGTTTTAGAAGTTGAGTCAAGCTGGGCCAAGGGAGGGGAGAGGAGGGCAGTGACCAAGAGAAAAGAGGGAAGCTGGGAGCACTGAGGGGGGCCTTCCCTCTAGGCCTGGTGACTTTGGGGTCTCCCAAGAGGGAACACTGGGCAGAGATGGGCAGACCCATCCCTACTTGGTTCCTGCAGGAGAACAGCACCTTCAACGCCCTTCCAACCCTGGCTGCCATGCAGACGTCCAGCGTGGTGCAAGGTGAGGCCGCAAGGGTCAGAGGCAGCTGCCAGGCACGGCTTCCCGCCCCACCCCTACCAGAGAGGCTTGTTGAGAGAGGACTGGGGTGGCGGGGGACCGTCCTCCCTCTGTGGTTCCCAGATGTTCTTCCTGCCCGCTTGTCTTGTTCCTGGGCCCCAGGGTGCCCTCCGCATCCCACAAGTCCCTGCTACTTTGGGCAGAGCTGAAGAAGGCAGTGGCCCAGCAGCCGGAAGGGTTGAGGACACTGGCTGAAGGGTTCCCAGGCTCGGAGGCAGCTTCCCGCTGGGCCCAGGCGCTGCAGGAGGTGGAGGAGAGCAGCCGCCCCTACCTGCAGGAGGTGCAGAGATACGAGACCTACAGGTGCTGGGCACCCGCAGGGTGGGGCGGGCAGCCCAACCTCTAGGCCACCCTGACACCCTGAGCCCCATTCCCAGCCCCTGTCAGCCCCTGACTATACTGAGCCTCTGTGCTTGTTTGTTTGTTTGAGACGGAGTCTCGCTCTGTCACCAAGCTGGAGTGCAGTGGAGCAATCTCGGCTCACTGCAACCTCCGCCTCCCGGGTTCAAGCGATTCTCCTGTCTCAGCCTCCCAAGTAGCTGGCACTACAGGCACCTGCCGCCACGCCCAGCTAATGTTTGCATTTTTAGTAGAGACAGGGTTTCACCATGTTGGCCAGGATGGTCTCTATCTCTTGACCTCGTGATCCGCCCGCCTCGGCCTCCCAAAGTGCTGGGATTACAGGCGTGAGCCACCGCACCCGGCTGCCTCTGCATATTTTTAAGCCAAGACCCCTGACTCCACAGGCTTCCAAGTCCCTACCAGGCTGTGTGCCCTCGGAACCTGAGCCTGGAGACCACACAAGAGCAGTAGGGCCTCAGGAAGGGTCTGTATCTGTTTCTGAAGCCCCGGCCTTGGGGTTAGAGGCCACACCCAGCCACCAGGTCCCACACCTATCCATCTTGGTGCCAGCCACCTCCCTTCTTAGTGACACCCGTGTCCTCTCTGTGGCAGGTGGATCGTGGGCTGCGTGCTGTGCTCCGTGGTCCTGCTCGTGGCACTCTGCAACCTGCTGGGCCTCAATCTGGGCATCTGGGGCCTATCTGCCAGGGAGGACCCCAGCCAGCCAGAAGCCAAGGGCGAAGCTGGAGCCCACTTCCTCATGGCGTAAGAGAGGGCTGGGAGAGGGGAAGGGTCCCCCCTTACAGGGCTGGCCGATTACTCTCGCTCCTGAGCACAGCTCCCATGGCTGCCAGTGTCCTCATCTGAATAAAGGGGTTGAACCAGAGCAGGAATGGCCAACAAGGAGCTCTTCCCTCCTACAGCAGAGGCAACTGTCGTAGCATCTAATGGGCACTCCTTCCCCTGAGTCAGACACAGCCTAGAGTCCTTACCCCAGCTTCCAGGCAGCCCCCACCACCAATAGGCAACAGCACCAGAGGTGGTATCTGTTTGCCAACCCCAGACTAGACGGTCTCTAAGGCCAAGGCTGCCACATACAGTTGTACAGGCTGTTCACTGAACAAGAGTGCCTGGCTAAAGAGGTAAGTGGGGGCTGAAATCCACCCCACGTTTTACCTTCCAAGCCTCACAGCCTGACGTAGGGCTGTGCCTACCTCACAAGCCCTTCAAGCCTCCTGGTCTAAGATCTTTACTCCTCAGGCCTGCTGGGATTCTGCCCCCTCAGCAGGTCATGCCTGTCCGTGCCAGGTGACCCTTTTGAGTGCTGGGTCCTGGAGCAGGTCACCTCCACGGGCCCCAGGCACAGAAGTCAGCAGTCTTGACTCTTTGGGTTTTGTTTTGTTTTGTTTTGTTTTGTTTGTTGTTGTTGTTGTGACAGGGTCTTGCTCTGTCACCCAGGACGGAGTGCAGTGACACCATCATGGCTCACTATAGCCTCAACCTTCCAGGCTCAAGTGATTCTCATGCCTCAGCCTCCCGAGTAGTTGGGACTACAGGCGTGTGCCACCACACCCAGCTAATTTTTAAAATTTTGTAGAGACAAAGTCTCACTCTATTGCCCAGGCTG